TATATGTATATTTATATATAATAATCATGAAAAATAATAATAATGTAGACCTTTAAGTAAGATTTAAATAATGAGTTATAACTTAACAAAAATAAAAATAATAGATAAAATATTTAATAGTCAAAAATTTAAATAACATAAAAATTATAAAAAATTAACATGATAAAATAGTTTATGTGTAAATTTCTTTAAACTCAGTTCTGATTTGTGAAGTCACATATTAATTTCGTTTTTTTAATTTCCTTTATTATTAAAATGGGATTATTATTATTTTTTTTAAATTAATTTAAGTTTCCAACACAAACCTGTGCTCCATCTGTTGGTGGAAAACTTGAAGCTCAGGTGTTCCTGCTGACGATTCAAACGATCTTTATTGCTCAGTGTGTTTGACGACGCCATGACAGACCTTGATGATACTGGAGTGTGTGACCATGTGTGTTTTCAGGGTGCGGAGGGAGCTGCAGCAGCTGCACATGCTCTGTCTCTGCCTGCAGAGGCTTATGGGAATGATGTAAGTTTACGTCATCTTCTTCTTCATCAGTCACTGTGTCCTTAGAAGACCTCGCGTTAAACATGAAATGTGAAACAATTCTGTGGTGCTGTGAACACCTCGTAATTATTCCTGAATATTCCCAAAGAGACATTCCTGACAGTGTGATGAATCCAAACTTTTTTTCTCCTTTCAGCCGCGGCTCGAGGTCATGTGGGCAATGAAGGCCTACAACCATGCGGAGGTTTACTTCAATGTAAGTTCACCTGCTGCTCCACCCTTCACCACGTTAATGGAGCTGGTTATGACTCGTTATAGTTATTATTAGTTACTGGTTTGAAACCAGCACACGCCGTGTCTGCTCGAAGGTCAAAGGCTTGGTTATCTGCAGGAATGCTTTGCTTTATTAAAGACGACGGCGTGATATTCCTTCACAAAACCGACTGCCTTTATCAGACCTCAGCAGGCTGAAGATCACATGATCTGTATTACCAGCTGAGTGCTGTGGGTTTTCACTGTGAGGTGTTTGATTCCGTTCTGCCTTCAGCTCATCTCGTCGGTGGATCCAAAGTTCCTGAAGCTGACGAAGATGGACGACAAAATCTACTCGAGCTTCAGGGAAACCTTCAAAGACCTTGACGTAAAGCTGCTCAATGCAGACGACCTCAAGTCTGAAAAGGCCAAAGAGGTCAGTCAGCACCTGCCGTTAGCTCAGCCTGCTCCTCCGTCAGTGCTTAGAGTCACAGATGCTGGGTGGATCAGACAGCTTTGGTTTGTGTTTTCAGACGTGGCGTCCGTTCTGTAACCAGTTCGAAGGACTCGTAGAAGACTTTAACTATGGCACGCTGCTGCGACTGGACTGTGAGAAGGACTACACGGAGGAAAACACCATCTTTGGTAAACATTTAACTCACGACGTTTGTACTCAAGTACAAGTATCAACAACAAGAACAAGTCTCCAAACTGAATCATAGAGACTGCTTTGCTTCATTTCATCTCTCCAAACCAAAAGTTCATACATCCTCTTGTCAGGGTCACTGTAGCCTATACCATTGGGTGAGAGGAGGGGTACACCCTGGATACCCTAGTCTAACACAGAGACAGACAACCATTCGCACTCACACCTATGGGCATGTCTTTGGACCGTGGTACCCAGTAGCAGAGTACCTGGAGAGAACCCACGCAAACACGAATATGCAAACTCTAGATAGAATGGTGGTAAAGGCAACAGTGCTAATCACCGCACCACCGTGCTGCCTGTAGAATAGAATTAAACCTCTGTGTGCTCTCCCGAGTTTGGCGTCTTCAGTCAGGCATGGGCCTTCTCCGCTTTTGGTCTTCAATTTTAATAGAAACAAAAAAAATGTAAACATATATACTGTGTACAACACATAGTACACCGTACTGTACTTCCCTCACATTTTAACTAGAGATACTGAGACATTTTTTAATGTATCGGTCCTAAAGTACAGATGCTGATTGTTGTAGATGATGAGAAAGAACAGTGAAAATTTCTTACAGCTCAGAGATTTATGTTTCAGATTTCAATATGCTAAAAAATATCCAGAATTTTACAAAATGAATAGAAAATTGTTTGAAATATGAAG